TAATGCAACTACACTTCTAGAAAACTACGTTTATGGTATTTGTATGACCTCAAATTTTACACACACACTCTCTTCATTTCAATAATCAATCCTCCAAAAAAAAAAGTTCAATTTGCCCTATGGTCAAATGAGTCCCCTCCAAAAACGAATCTAGACCATTCATTTTGTGAACTTCAAGATCTTAGCCTTTAAAACATAAAAATCATTTTTTCCTTTTTTAACATTGTTTATCTAATGATAATAAAGCCATCCAAAAAAATTGGAAATTAAAAATACTTCTAAGACCTAGATCTAAGCATCTCACCAAAATGAACGGCCTATGTTAATTAGACTAAAAAAATACTTTCTAGGTTGTGTTTTTATTTTTTCTTTTTTTGTGAATGTTCATTAGAATGAAAAGAGTGTATATTTCAGATTTTGGATCAAACAAATGGCAATAAGATGGTTTTTTAAGGTTGTTGCATCAAATTACTATATAACGGTTGCCATGAAATCATTGCCCATATATATATATATATGAAAGGTTTCTATACCTCCCCTACAGCATAGAAGAACTATCCTCCCCTACTATCTAGCCGTCCAATTTTGATCAAGAGAGCCACTCACCGTTGGATCTTAGTTTCGACGTTTCAAAGTATTTTATTTTTAGTTTTTTTTATACAAATTGTATGAATATGACATTTGGTATGTGTCATCTTCTCATTTGGACACACCTATAAAAAAAATTAAAAATAATGTTTTGATAAAATATAATGACCAAAATATCCCTTAAAAATTTCAAGGGTATTTTGATCATTTTATTTTATTGAAAATATTTGTTTCATATTTTTCACTAGTGCGAGTTTAATAGAGGATTGAACGTCCAAAAATTGGTGTCAAAATAGTTTATAAAAAAAATTTAAAATAAAAGAGTGTAGAGACGTGACATTGTGATTAGGGCAATATTAGCCCTCCATTCAGAATGGACGGTTGGATAAGGGGAAGCATATAAGTTTTATACTGTAGGGGAAGCATAGAAAGCTTGCCCTATATATATATATATAAATATTAAACTTAAAATGTAGAATTACATATGCACCTCAAAAATCTATTGAAAGAGGTTGTGTTAATGTTGAAAACCCTCTAATTGATCATCTGGACATTGAGACGTATGAATATAAAAAAAGAAATAGATTTGAGTCCCAAAAATAGTGCATCTTGCAACATATTATCTAGACCGTTCATTTTCAAGATTTTTATATGTTTGTAATCTACTTGATTTTAACTATTTTTGGAGTTTAAGATTTTATAATTAAATATGAAAATAGATTTTTAGATAATCCTAAGAATTTTTTAAACCAAAATTACATGTTATGATAAAATTTGGAGGTATTCATTAAGTGGATTGTTTAAGGTTGCAACCGTATAGAAACCATACCTATATATATATATATATATATATATATAT